CTGGAGTTACACTGTTCTCTACTTTCCCCATCTAAAGGAGTTTGAGCGAATAATAGTCCAATAATAGTTCTACGTTTGCATTTTGGTATTTGTTTTTGCGTATGTATTATTTAATGTGTTCCGAAATCAATGACGGCTTGATTTACCGTCCTTTTCACTCTAATCACAAAAGGGCTTTTAAATTGCTTGTCCTTGCATTTTTCAGGTTTTTTTACGTGGTCCTGATGTATTAATTTGTTGATCTCCTGTTCCAACTGTTTCTGTGGATGGATGGGCGATCTACTGCCCATCTGTTGTATCGTTTTGAAGTTTTTACCGTGTGGTTTTTCATTTTTGGAATATTGTGCACAATCTTCTGTAGTTGTCTTGAGCCCCCCAATTTGCTATGGTTGGGACTGAGTGTTCTTTTGAAGCAATATTTAGAAATATCTGTTGTTTTGGTTTGTTCTTGTGTAAATTAATCCAATTTTGTGGAGGATGCTTCGGCCTACGATGCTGGCTCTGTGACAGTCCACTTTTGAAAAGTGCTGGCTGTACCATCCACTCTCCAAATTCGATTGGTAAAACTATTCTACCTACTGGCTCAAGGTACAATCCTTTGTAACACACGAGGCCGCATCCTCTTAGGGGATATGTTTCCAGGTGGCGCCTTTCACTTTTTGTTTTAAATCCGCTGCCACGTATTCATTCAAGAAAGACATTGGACTGCGCGAATTGGCTTTTGCTATTATCACTTCACCTGTGCTTTTCAGTTTCACTAGGTTTCCGTTCAAATCCTCTTCGGTGATCGATCCAACGTTTTTAATTTCAATTATCTTGAGTCCAGGTTGTCTTTTTGTTGTTCCTGAGGCACGTGCACGTCTGTTTTATCTCAAGTTTTGACATAATTGACGTTTGGCCAGCGGCGCAACTTTTGGAAATGGCCTCGTCTTTCACATTGTGAGCATAATTTGTCCTTCAATAGGTAAAATTGACGATGTCCTGCCGAGAAAGTGCAAGCACAATTGCAGCATTGTTTGCTTTGTCGCTGGTTTGTATTACTAAGTGCTCCTCTTTGCCCCAGTTGTTCCTAATTTCTACTCCGAATTTCTCATTTCTCCGCGTCCCCCGCCTCCCCCTGATGATGGACGACTTTTCTGTTGGTTACTGAATGTAACTGGTTCTTGTTTTATTGTAACTTGGCTCCCTGATGCACTGTAGTGTACATGGCTCTGGTTTTGAATCGTTTGTTTATACTTATTTTATGCCTAATGGCGTAGTCGTATGCTTCTTTGAGTGTTCGTGTTTCCGCTAATAGGTTCTCTGAAGTTTTCTCGTTCAGCATATGTGCTGTAAACATGTCCCTCACCCGATAATCTTCTTTGTCTTCACGGTCCGTTTTCGATAAAACTTTGACCGATTCCGCGTGGAGTTGCTGTAAAGGTCCATTTTTCTCTGGATTATTTAAGAAAATTTTTTTTTCCAACGCAATAATATTGTATGTGAGAAATACATCCTCGAGTTCGTCCCACAGGTCCTTCGTGGATAGTGGCTGGATATCAACTTTCGGTTTTTTCTGTCTGAAATGTCTTTGAGCCTCATGTGCAGGGCATCGGTAAGTATATAATTTTGCTTTGGTACCCGCTGCATCTCACGGTATTGTTCCGCATAGCACACTCCTGCTTACCGCTTTTTGGCATTCGTTCTACCACCTGACACGTTTTTCTTGGTCTCTGTATTCTCATTCTCGTTTTTTTTGTTATCCTTGTCTATCGGGTCTTGTAGTATTAGCGCTGGTGGCTAAGTAGGTCAACTTCGCAATAATACTTAGACGTCGATGTTACCTTTTGCAAAAATCGCCATTTTTAACCCAACAATAGTTTTTGCCCACTCTGCTGATGGTTCCATCGTGTGACAATGCAAGAACGACGGATTGCTGACAGGTTTTTTCTGGTCATTATCTGCTGATTGCGCCATGTTATAACCTATTTCAACATACGTTATATATACAATGACAATTTACTTGCTCAACTTGCTGTTCCAACCAAAACACAAAATGATTGGAACGAAAACGTAGCGTAGCGCCTATTTATTCCCTGACAGCTTTACCACAAAAGAATAATTGAAGGGAGTGATGTGATATCTATCTCAAAACATTCTTAAATTGATATGTTGATGAAGGAAAAACTGCAGTCCCTCTTCTAAACACAAAAGAATTTTATTGATTATGTTGTCATTGTATTGTTGTAAAACCGACCACAAACAACTCAAACTACTCAAAAATAGTGCAAAAGTTTCATAAACTGCTCAAACAGCTGGGAATTTGGAGACCTACCGCTCAAAACTGCTCACTTTTTAAAAATTATCGCTCAAATCTCTCAAATTTTGAGTTTCTTGATTTTTTTCCGAAGAGCCGTATTCGCTACAGAGCACACGCAGCCTGAACATCTTATATATGCACCACAAATATATATGCACTATGAAAGAGCAACACAAAACACAAAAAAAATTAAACGATGTTCTAAAAGTAACTAGCAAAGTCGATTACGTTTCTTATAAAATCAAACTAGTTTTTCTCTAAAATCGCCCAAATCGCTTATTTTTAGGCATGATTTTGATAAAATTCTTTAAAAAACTCTTCAAATTGTTCAAAATTGGCGAGTTTAACGGCTAAACTTGTTTATTTTTGCTACAATAAATAAGATAGTCGTTCAGTGTTTTTTGGATTAAATTGTTTGTGTTTTACCAACCATCACAGGTTCCCCCAGCAAGCTCGTAATCCTCAACTTTGTCGTCCTCTAAGTTAGCAAAACAGAGTAAGGATCCGTTAGGACTGTCATCACCATCAGCATAAAAACTCCTACACGTTGTTTCATTGAGTTCATCTAGCTGCACCTCCTGTAAACTTCAAATTACTATGACTCTTTTTTCCCTTAACTTCACAATAACATCTTTTCTTTGGTGTCCGTAACGAGTGATTTCGCAAGCTTAATGTATGAAGATTAATTATGTTTTTCTGGGTTATAGTTAGGCAGCCTGTCATTAAAAAAAACAATCGATTTATGTGAGCGATATTTTGTAGGTAAAATCTTGCAGATGGGGGAAAGGAAAAAGTGCTTCCATTTAATAAACTTTTGAACAGTAATTATTTGCCAGTTCTATTTATGTCGGGAAGGAGGATAGATGGCAAAGTGGTCTGGGTCTCAGTCAGACGTCCTTCCCCTTAGGGAATTAAAAATTTTTCAAAAACTACTTAAAAACGCCATTTTGGTCAGTTTTTTTTTTCAAAATTTTGCCTCCGGAGCAGAAAGTGTGGCCAAAACAGTGTCTATTTAGTGTTTTAGGAGAGCTTGGAAAATTGATTAGGTCGATTTATTAAAAAAGGTTGATAAAATCTCGAGAAACTCCTAGATCGGACCCTGGTCTTAGTGTCGTCGAGACCCACCAGGAGCCGACCTTCAGTGCGAGGCAATACTTAACCCCAGAAAAAAGTTTTCTGATAGTTCTGATTAAAGGTGCAATGGCGTACAGACAATTCCGCCAAAAGTAATCGGTCAAATTGACATTCAGACAGTCCTGCCAAAAGTACACAGACGATACAGCTCAGCCGCAGTCATTTCAGCCTGTTTTACAACTGGCTAAGTTCAAAAAAATGAAAGTAAAATGGAAGAAAATTCAGTGCAAATAGGTCTAGTT